GGGGGGGCACAGGGTGCATATATGTGCGAGCTGAATGTTACTAGCATTTTCGCGCTACCTTCTGTACACGCTGCTGCTGCTGCATGTTGGAAGTAAGGGCTATGCGCCTGGCTGTATGCGCGAATACTGAAGCTGTGTTTCGCTGTCAGGCAGCTCGGTGTTGCAGGTGGAGCTATGTCTGGTGGCGTGAGAAATCGTCGGATTTCATTGGGATCGCCCAAAGACTTGAAAGAAGTGCACTTCTTCGAGGAAGAAACAATTCCAGACGTGCCGGCGAAAGGCGCCCGCGTTAAGGTTTGTGCTTTCCTACGCTCGCGATCCCGCATTACACGGTCCCTGGTATTCATTTGTTATTCATTTGAACACGCTGATGCACTCAGTTCACTTTGGCGCTGTACTGCTGCCGCAGCAGTTTCTTGCGCTTTTTCAGCCGTGTCCGCACATCCCCAATGCGATGCCGTATTTCATGCCTTGCCTGATGCATTTTGCGATGCTCCGTTTGGCCTTGCTAAACCCGGCACCGGCTGGAGAAGAATTTGACTGGCTTCTCTCCTAGACATAGAGATCCTGATGGCGCTAGCCTCATCCTGAAAAGGGTTCATTTCTTCTGTCACCTGGTGCGTTATGTCCCTGTGCTTTAGGGAGGGAGAGAGGTGGAACTGTGGAATTTTTAACTTGCCTCGAATAACAGACTCGTTCGATGTACAGCTCTGTGGAGATCTGTAGAGGAGATGTTCTGGGGATCACATAGCAAATCCAGAAGGCGTGCATGGTACGGCGAGTTTGGGCATTTGGCTTGTTTTCAGCCCACTAATTGCACGTGACAATCTGGCTCATCATGTATTGGCCGTGGAATCCCTCCATCCTACGAACACACTTCCCAGGCTTTTTGTTTCATAATCGCTGTTTTACTCGGTTATTGTGCCCTGTTAAGGTGTGCTATGCTGGTGTGTGTCTCACGGATCGCGAAGTTACGAACACGAAACAGGCACGAATTACCAATGGAATCAAAGACACCAGTCTTTTCCCAGGTTTCTTTTTTTCGTCTATTTTTTCGATTCTCCGGCTTCACCCAACTTTTTGAATGATCGCCTGATTCTGTATAAAAGTTTTTTTTTTTTTTTTTCTATTAGCAAAGAATTCACATTTTTTAGTCTTCCACCGCTGTCTTAGATGTTTTATTTCATGTTCTGCCAGGACTGTTCAGCGGTGTTTTTGGTCACTTATTTCACTGTTCTAGAAGTCCCGGTAGAATTCGTTTCGCTTCTCTTTCCGTAATAATCACCAAGTCCCTCGATATTAAGCTTGTCCACTCCAGTCTTTTTCCTTCAGGTACTATTTAAGGTTAAGTGAAAATTTAGTTGGAAAATGTAGAAATGGATGATGGAAGTCAAAACGGAATAAAAAAGGAAAGATGTAAAAAGAAGTAATAAATTAGGTAAGAAATGTTTTAAGTAGTAAATTAGGTAAGACTAGTTTGTGCTAGTGGTCTTCGCTTGATCATCGTAATTCACTACTGAAGCCGCTTTTCATGTCAGTTTTTAGAAGCTTGGCAAGGCGTAAAACCCTCAAAGTTACTTTAGTTCCATCGTTTTGGTACCATTTTGTTTTTCAACTCGTTGCTTGTTCAGTAGCAGAAAACCGTATTGAAGCAGTGCTCCTTGTGCTTTGCCGTTTATCTACGGTTTGCACTGTCCCTCGCATGCCCTGTAAAGGATGCATGATACATGCAACAGCATGTTGAATTGGCCGGGCATTGGCAAAGTGCTGAAAATTCAGTTACAGCAACACTTCAGTTGCGTTCTCGCATTTTGCAGGGTACGAAGTATCGGGTATTGTTGAGTCATTTGGTGAGGATGCGAAGGCCGCTGGATTCGATTTGAAAATTGGAGACAAGGTTCCTTTGCTCAGAATATTTTGATAACAGCGATTTATGCGAATTTATTAACCATCGCTTGCGCACAGCAGCTGTTACCTTAGAGCATCTGTGCTTTCACTTTTCCCAGCCTTCTGCATTCTGCACTTTCTCATTTTGGCCATCGCCGAATCATTGGCTCTCGTTACCTGAAACTTGAAACTTCCACTGTTATCCTTCATACTGCGCTCCA